ATGTTGGCAGGAACAAGAGCAAAACTTAGGAACAGTTTCAGGATCGAGACACATCTGCATAGACTCGCTCTGAGCATTGGCCTGACCTCTGCTTCTGTTTTAGGAAAAAGGAAGCGAGGCTGCCAAGGCGAAGAGTCCAGGTAGGTGAGTGCGCGGCCTGAAGCCGTGGGGAACCTCTGCTCACCGCAGGCGGCGCTCACACACGGGCGGGTTGTGAAGATCCCCTATTAACTGGTGTTTTTAAATACATTTCACATCAAACGTCACCAACTTTAAAAAACTGGCTGCTAAAACTTTGAAAATAGTTTCCACAAAAAGTGAGTTAAATTTCTTCCTCTTTAAATTCTCAGACCCTGACGGACGGAGCGCGGCCCCTTGCAGTCCCCCCGAAGCCTCCGAGAATCCGGGCCTGGACAAGTGCGTACAGCTGCCCTCGCCCCGTGGGGAGTGACGGGGGACTCACCGTGTACACGCTGCCTCGGGTTCTGTAGACCAGCCGCTCCTCTCAGTCCCTTAAAGCTGGGACCTGCCCCCCACCGTCAGCCTGGACTCTGAGCCAGCCAGGCAGGCGGCTGCCCCTGCACCCAGCAGACGGCCCGTTGGTCCAAGTGCTGGTCCCGGCTCACAGTGTCAGAGCCGCAGAGGCTCCCGCGGTGCAGCAGGTCTGCAGAGCCAAGCACGTCTCTGCCTCTGCTGTGACTCAGGATCCTTCCCGCTGGAAGGGGTCCTGGGGAAGCTGACACCCCAACTCCGTGGAGCCCCTTCAGGGCAGTTTAACAGAGGAGCCCCCAGTGCCCCACCCCTCGCTGGAGGCCCGCCGCGGCCGGAGGCACAGACAGCCACCCAGGGCCGACAGCCAGCGAGGCCGACAGCCACCAAGGCCGACCGAGCCTCACGCCCGCCTCCCATTGCAGCCTGTGCATCTTCTGCGGGGAGCGGAGCTCGGCCTTCACGGAGGAGGGCCTGGACCTGCACTACTGGAAGCACTGCCTCATGCTGACCCGCTGCGGCTACTGCAGACAGGTCAGGCGCGTGACCGCGCTCCCTCCGCCCTGAGCGGCCGCCTGGGTGCCAAGGCGCGTGGCAGTGCCCTTAAGACTGGGGCTGAGCGGGACGTGGGTCTTTAGCCGAGGAGCTAAGTGACGAGCTCGGCGGGTGGGTCCCAGAGGTAACAGTACGTGCCGACCTTCACCTCGGCGCTGGGCACTCTGAGGGCCATGCACGGGCGTGAGTGCGGGGGGTGCCAGGGCCGGGGCAGGACCTGCATGTCGGCTGCAGGTGGTGGAGATCGCCAGCCTGACGGACCACCTGCTGACGGAGTGCGACAAGAGGGACGGGTTCGGGAGGTGCTGCCGCTGCAGCGAGGCTGTCCCCAAGGAGGAGCTGCCCAGGCACGTCGCGTCCAAGGACTGCCACCGTGAGTGCCCTCGGGGCCCGGGCCCCAGCCACCAGGGAGGCCCAGCAACAGGTCCACGGGCACCCCCTGGTTCCCTGCCTCACCCGCCACCCACAGGGCAACTGAGTCTTGTCTCACTGACACCATTTCAGCTGCCAAACCAGAGAAGCTGGCCAACCGGTGCCCTCTGTGCCACGAGAACTTCGCCCCTGGAGAGGAGGTGAGGCTCGCCGGGGCCAGCGCAGGGGGCTGAGCAGTTTAGTGCTGTCCGTGTCCCTCCACTGTGAGGAGGCTCAGCCCGGGCACAGACGCGCCGAGGGAGCCCGTTCCCGTCTGTGCCCTACATGTGGGCCCTCCCTGGAGGCGTGGCCACCCTCGCTCACATTCTGGTCCCTTTGATTCATGAAAGTGAGCCAGCTGGTCGGGTTTGGAGCGTCTACTTCCTGTCCGACGCCAGGCGCTCCTCCCTCCCCCGCGTGAGCCACACTGCACAGGTGGAGTGGGCTCAGGCCTTCCCTCCTCGCCCCCGAGCCCTGCAGACATGGCTACAGCCTCCGTGCTCCTAGACTCTCGTCCCATGGCTGTGAGCTGACGCCTCTCACGGCACACGCTCCGAGGCCGTGGCTTTCTCCACGCCCGTCCGTGCTGCACCCGTGACCTCACTGCTCGGCTTCCAGGCCCTTAGCACCTCGCAGTCTCTGTGGCTCAGGAGCCGGCACAGGACCCGCCGGCCCTCTCTTGGGGCCCCACAGGTGGTGGCGGGGCACTGGGGGCCGTGTTCCCACCAGAGGGCTCCACAGGGAAGATCCTCTTCGAGCTCCCTCCAGGGCGGGCAGGGCTGCTTGCTTGGTCATCGGAGGACGGATCCCCTTTCCTGCCGGCTGTCAGCCAGGGGCTGCGCTGTGTTCATGCTCTCAGCTCCCGGCCCCCTGGCCCCACCGTGCCCTCCCTGAACTGTTCCCCGTCCGCACACCCTCCCAGGTCTCACTGTGCACTGCCTGGGGAGGGCCGTGGGAGGTGGGCTGCATCTTACAATCAGCTGAGCCCTGAGGGGCCAACCACAGCACCCTGAGGCCACAGACACCAACTCCGAGAGCCGCCTCTGGCTGTGTCTTTAATGACAGGCACGTGGGCTGGGACAGCAGCGGAGGCCCCGCCTCCTGGTTACACCCGCAGCCTCTCGTTTCAGGCATGGAAAGTCCACCTGATGGGCCCCGTGGGCTGCACGATGAACCTGCGCAGGACGTGCCTGCTGTTCAAGGCTCCAGCTCCACTGCAGGGTGAGGATGGGCTGGGTCGCGTCCTCCACAGCCACTCAGCCAGACGGCTTCCCGCCAGGCGCCACTTCCTTAAGCAGGGGCTTGGTCAGACCTGCAATGCTTTTCATTAGAAAACTGTTCTGGCCGGGAGGCCCGGGTGCACCCCTACGTCAGGGTGAGAGAGAGGCGAGGCCCTGAGCGAGAGGATGGGTGTAAGCGGCATGTGCGCGTCTGTGCCAGGCGCTGTGCTGGGCTGCACACCCTGGTCCCATACCGTCCTGTAAACCAGGACGCGGGGGCGGTGCGGGAGGGGGCCAAGGTCACTCCAGGGAGGAAACCCCAGTCACATGGCTGCTCATTCTGTTTCTGGAGCTGAACCGTTGAGGCCAAAAGCAGGCAAATGGCTCGGTCTCTCCTCTGACCCGCGGGCGCCGTTTCCTCTGAGCTCAGGGTCCTTCCTCTCCTGCCATCTCGGTGCGTCTGCAGCAGCCACCTGAGGTCACCACCAGGTGACCGCTGTCCTCTGCTGACCCCCCACGGTCAGGCCAGCTCCTGTGGACAAGTGCCCCGGTCCCAGCCCTCCTGCTGTCCTCCCCGTGTCTGCTGACGCCGCCTCCATAGCGTCAGGTGCTGTGCGTTCCCCTCGTGCGTCACTTTCCTCCTGACACGGTGCCTGTGCTTTATGTTCCTTGTCCACCGCAGGCAAAGGCCCAGACACGGCCAAGCCAGGGACCTCGGGGCTGAAGGCTGGAAGCAAGATCCCCACCCCCAAGGGGGGCCTGAGCAGGTGCTCTGGCAGGACCTACAGGAAGCGATGACCCGACGGGACCAGGCCCCTTGGTGCGAGCGGGCCGAGCCAGTTCCCGATCGTGCACACGTCTCCTAACAGCCATCTGCGGCCGGCGGCCATGCTCCGTCCGCTGTCCTCACGCGTGTGTGGGGTTGGCCGAGGCGGCGACCCCAACGGCCGGTGCTCCCTCCCGTGTCCAGCTGGCAGGTCTGACTTTCTCGGGCCGGGAGCCATACACGTAGCCGTGCTATTGGAAGAGACCCCGAAACCGGTGCCGAGGAAGCGCCTGGAAGCAGGTGCCGGGTCGGGTCAGCGTGTCGAGGGCGCCCCGCAGGCACAGCACCCTCTTCCTTTACAGTAACCTCGCTTGTGGTCTGTCTCGACCACAGGGCTGTGGTCCCTGCGGGTCACAGGACAGGAGAGCGGGGTGGCTCGAGCTCCCCGGGCCTTCTCCGTAGGCAGCGGCTGCAGAGCCTGTGTTTTCCTCTGTGACAGAATAAAGGTTAATTAAAGGCAATGGCGGTCACCGAGAACTGGTCCCTCCAGCACTCACATCTGGGCTGGCCTGTCCCCGTCCCCATCCCTCTCAAAGCCAGGCTGGAATTGGAGCTGAAGGCACTTTTCTTAAGCACTCCAGATACTTAAACCCAAAACATCACTCACAGTGACGCTCCCTCCAAACCCAGTCTCCTCCCAGCTCCTGCCCAACCCCTCCCCCACCAGTGGTTCCACCTGCCTCATCTGCAGGGCGCCCGGGGGAAGCCAGTGTCTGAGACCTGCTAGGCCACGCCCAGGTCTTCCCGTCCAGGGGGTGCCCCACACCACCCCAGAGGCAGCCCCCTCCGTCTCCTCCTGTGGCCAGGGGCCCAATGCCCACTGCCGAGCGTACGGCAGGCTGTCAGATTGCCGTCAGAAAGGGATTACATTTGTACCACACAACTAGTGTATCGCTACTTCTAGTTCCCAGCCTGGGGAACAAGAACACGTCAACTAATAGCTATTTGAGCGGTATACTCCCCGGCCACGTTAGCAACCATGGGTTCGCACTAATCTATCACCATTTTTGGTAAATTAACACCATCTCTTATGGTTGACTAGAAATACTGAGTGAGACTCACCAACCGAATTACCTTTAAAAAAATACTGAAATGTGGGGAGACGAGGTAAAATGCTCCTCGACCAAGCGGAGTACAGCTGCCGCAATGGTCACTAAACGATCCTTTTCAGCTTCAAAAAGATGTTGGCTGTTTTCTAATCCATTTTTGAAATACAGATAAAACATTTTTTTAAGCAGAACAATAATGAGAAAAGTTAACTAAGCAATTATTTTCTCTCCAATCAAAACTTTTAAGAAATAGGTATGTTTTCTATATATTATAACCTAAAAATATTTGTAAAAATGTTTAGTTTTTAATGATTGACAAAATTAGGTGCATTTAAAACAGGTTAGTCTTGCCCTGACCGGTGTGGCTCAGTTGGTTGGGCGTTGTCCCATTCACCAAAGTTTGCCGCTTCAATTCCCGGTAAGGACACATGCCCAGGCTGCTGGCTCCATCCCCAGTAGGGGGCGTGCAGAAGGCACCCGATAGATGTTCTGCTCTCACATTGATGTTTCTCTATGTCCTTCTCCCTCTCTAAAAATCAATAAAAATGTTTTTAAAATAAAAATATTAAAAGGTTAGTCTTGCTGGTTACAGAAGCTTCATGCATTTGTGGTGAAATGATCCGTGGCAGTGGTTCATGGCCATGAAAGCTTTACAGAGTTATGTACTATTGAACCAAGAATCAGGGTAAAAATGTAAAAAGAACTGTGAGCTCTGTCAGCCTTACGTAAGCATCTGAATTTGGAACAGTAATAGTTGAATTTATTTATGAGTATGTTGTGGGTATTTAACAATATTTGTTATTTTCATATCTCAGAATAGCATATCAATCTAATTTAAAAGAATTATATGTATAAATTGGCATTAGAACACAAATGTAAATACTTTTCATGAAAATTTGCAATTTTTTAATGTTTTAGCATAGTTTTCTATTTATCTTTATTTCAGGTATCAGAATTATAAAATATCTGAGTAATATATTTTTGTTGCTATTCAGGACTTAGTTAATTCACCCCAAGAATATTCACATAATAAAAAGGTCACTGGACATTTCACTTTTATTTCGATAATTTAAAAGCAATTTGTAGGTTCTATTTCCATCTGTAAACACGGGGGTAAGGCCGGGCAGCACCTCAGAGGGCAGCCGGGGGCTGACCAGGGCTCTGAATGGTAAGTTGCCAGGAGAGAGTTTGGCCCTAAAATAAGTTATCTGTCAAAATGGATTTACTGCTGAAGAAGCGAAGATGTTAAACTGCAGATGAATTAGAGGGAGTTACTGGCCACGTCCACCCTGTGGAGTAGAACCAGGGTGTCCAGGGGATGCGCCGCCGGGCCAGGTTTCCCTCTAGTCTCCTGTTTCCCTCCAGCCAGTCAGTGAGCCCTTAGCTTTTCAAATAGGAAACATGGCAGCGCTTTCTCCGGAAGTGTGTGGAGCAGGTTTAAGCTTCCATCAGCGTCGCTAAGTTTACAATTGTCTCTATTTTAACTTATGTACAGCTTTTTCCTTTACACAAATGGGTACCAACTTGAAACTTGGGGTATCACAGCTGAAAACGGCAAAGATGACTTCCAATGTCTTATCCTACTTTGGGGGGAGGTGTGCCGCAATGGCCTCTCGGGAGGACTGGGGGACGGTGGTCCCAGGAGGGCGTGATGGAAGGAAACACGCCTGTCTCCAGTGACGCCATAGCCTTGGTGCCCGCAGAGCACCGCGCACCCCTCGCGGCTTGTGGGGACGCGGGTGCCACCCACCGCATGGTGCCCACGGTGACTGCTGCTGGTGTGTGTTTGCTGTACGTCCGTCGCCTTTTTGGAGTGTGCGCTTGGCACCCGCTTTTAAAGCTTCTGTAAACAGCAGCCGTTCTACCCCGGCGGTGGCCTCATCCATGTCCTGTTGACCGCGTTGGAGGGAAGCGCGACAGGACACCCCAAATTTGCCGGGTTGTGTACGGGTTCTTCTGACCCGTGGGCTCTGGGAAACCCACCGATGCGGGGGGCGCCTTCTCGGCACCCCGCTGCCCCCACTTCCCCCCAAAGGAGCCACTGCCACCAGCCCCTCCCAGTGTCGGGGCCAGGAGGGGGCGCTCTGGTCGGGAGGGGACTCGAGGTGACAGCACACCCGACAGACTGTCGCCCCTTCACTCAAGGGCACGGGCGCCACCTGGCG